AGGGATGATTTTAAGAAAATTTTAATTGACACACAGCTTCGAATATTTGGCTTTTAATTTGGTTTTATGGGGGTTTTTTGTTCTTTGATGTATTTTGTTTGTCTGTTTTAATATGCTGTGCACCGCCCTGAGTCCTACGGGAGAAGGGCGGTATATAAATTAAATTATTAAATTAAATTAAATTAAATTAAATTAAATCAGGAGAATGATAAAAAGTCTCTTATTTATTGGGCTTGCTGGATCCAGAAAGACTTCCTGATAGAAGGGTGTGTAACTTGGCTTTCTCTGTTCGGCTCACTTAGTTCCAGCTTTGGAAATGTTCCTTGGCCCCAACTATTCTTTTGATCACTTCTGTGACGTGACATCTGTCTTTCACTTTGATTTCTACTTATTCCATGTCAGGGGCATATATGATTCGCTAGATTGTTTCTTAGATTTCCTGGCTCAGTTTTGACTTCCTGGCTTATCTTGGATATTTGCCTGCAGCACATTAATTGTGCAATCATGGCAGTATGTTATTAAGCCAGTTTAAAAAAAGAAAACTAAGTTGCCTGCCTGTTAGTGATTATTTGGAAAGAGAAAGCAGGGAGATTATATATCTAACCCTTGCTTCCTTACCTAACAAAAGATGTTCAGGAATTATCCTTTTCAAGAAAGTTATATAAACATTGTCCCAACTCTTCAATTGGGCATAAAACTGACACATAAACTATGAAATTGAGAGGACTGTTTTCTTGCACAAAGTGTTTAAGAGGGCTTATACAAGAAAATTATGTCATCTTAGTTTTAATCATGACACTTATGACTCTAGCAAAAGAATATGCTGTCTAGCAGCTTAATGCATCTTACATGGGTTTTCCTACAAAACTATAGCCATTAGAGCTGTGTGAAGTAGAATGCTGAGGGGCACTGGCTAGTCACTGAACTCTATGATAAACTGTTGGAATTCATTGTTGGGATGTATTTTGTGCAACAACTATAATAGTGTTCAGCCAGTAGTTGGCAATGTTTACAAGTTTGGATGTATGGTTTATACTCTATGTGCTTTTATTCTAAGTAGAGGTTTCTGTTTCCTGTTACACTTTAAAAAGTTAAGCAGTAAAGCACATGGTGACTGTACTCTTTGTCTGATCCAGTGATGGCGAACCTTTTCGAGACTGAGTGCCCAAACTGCAACACAAAACCCACTTATTTATCGCCGGGTGCCAGGTGGGCGTGGCCCACTTGGTGGGTGTGGCCAAGGTGGGTGTGGTCACCTCAATGTTGATCATGGGGAGGGATGCCTGTGGGGCTGGGCAGGGTTGGGGGAGATCCAGGGGGTCTCTGGCAGGTGGGGCAGTGGGCAGGAGGCTCGTCCTGTAGGATGAGGCGAGGTAAGGAGGCAGGGTGGGGGTGCCATTGTCGCAGGGCAAGGTGAGCAGAGGCTGGGGCGGCTGCTGCCTGACACCTTCGGCCCCTGCACACACAGGCCAGTGAGCGCATGGGGGCCGACAGTGTCTGTCAGCAGCTTCGCAGCCTGCTGCCAGCAGCTCAGAGAAGCCACTTCTGAGCTGGACGGACGGCCGACAGCTGAGGAGGGGATGCAGTGGGTTGTGCTCGGGAAAAGGAGAGCATGCGAGGCCAGGAGGGATGGGACGGGGGGAGGGAAACCAGCCATGCTGGGATGCATCTGGCCATGTGGGACCTCGGTGAGTTAGCAGGCGGCTGGTTGAAGAGGGACGGTTGCCATCTCCGAGGCATGGTGCGCGTGCCCACAGATAGGGCTCTGAGTGCCACCTCTGGCACGCGTGCCATAGGTTCGCCACCACTGGTCTGATCTGTGGTGCTATATATAAACAGAATTTCTAACATAAACTAGAGACTAGAATCTGAATCTTTGGTTCTTCCCTGTTCAAGATCAATATGTACTCTGACAGCCTTCTTTGAGATTCTGTTTTTGGCAATTACAGTATCATTCCTGAAGATAGATTAAAACTTTTTGGCTCTTTGATGAGTTGTTTTCTCCAGGACCCTTCAGCTGCATATCAAATCCTTTCTTCATTGTTTGTAGGTAGCTGAATTAGAATATTGCATTAGCTATTAAATTATATGTTCTTAAACCAGATGCATGAGTTAACTCTCATGCCAAACTATTTAAAATATGTAAATATAAAATTGTTATAAAAATATTTCTATTTCAATGACAAAGCAAGTAAGTAAGTACCTGAACAAATAACACCAGCATCCTCTTGGTGGTTGCAGTTATGATTTCCCCAGCCTGCACTTCTGCATTCCCAAAGATAGCGTTCATTCCCACTGCACTGAACATCATCCAGGTAAATAGGGCCATATCCTTGACCAAACCATGCTCCTTGTGTTGCTTGGATGGCATATCCACATCCAAGCTGTTGGCATACCACATTGGCATCATTCAGGTCCCATAAATCATCACAAACAGTCCCCCAACCTTGGTAATAATGCCTAATTTCAACACGCCCTTGACAGTTATGACTTCCATTTACTAATCGGAGCTCTAGAGGAAAAAAGAAATAATATTGTTCAGTCATAAACAGTCACAGACATTGGAGGAATTTTTTTTACAATTGTACTTTTCAATAGGAAACAGGATTAACAACAGTAATCAAGATATGAAGATGTGAGAAAATTTCTATCTTTATAGGGAGTCAACTTTTGGATGTCTGCCTGCTATCACTATCCTAGAGTAGCAAAAAAACAAACAAACAAACAAAAAACAAAGTGAGTAAGAAGACCATGATTAGAAAGAATGGAACATGGGGCATTTTCACTGTATATGAATTATTCAAACATACAGCCATGAAAGTCCTCCAAACAATGATAAAACCAATGTGTAGTACAGGTAGTCCTCAACTTACAACAGTTCATTTAGTGACCATTCAAAGTTACAACAGCACTGAAAAAGTGACCGTTTTTCACAGTTACAACCTTTGCACCATACCCATGATCATGCAATCAAAATTTAGATGTTTGAAAACTGGTTCACATTTATGACCGTCACTGTGATCACCTTTTGCACCTTGGGACAAACAAAGTCAACGGGGAAATCAGATTCACTTAACAACCGGGTTACTAACTTAACAAATTCAGTGATTTGCTTAACAACTGAGGCAAGAAAAGTTGTAAAATGGAGCAAAACTCACTTAACAAATGTCTCACTTTACAACATAAATTTTGGGCTCAATGGTGATCATAAGTTGAGGACTACTTGTATGTGCTGTGCTGTCCCTCATACTCTTATTGAAATGTGTTGTTTTTTTTTGCTTGAGGTCCTTCATGGACAAAGAAATCTGTTGTTATATCATAAGACATTACTCAAATATTCTAAATAAATGCAAATATTGTAAATAAACATTCTCAACTACATGGAGATACTTTTGACAAAATAATCACCAATTTCATTCTATGCTTGAACTTAAACTTAAAAACAAGCATGGACCATGGCTTCAAAAATTTGCCAGCCTGTATTCTTTAGGACCATCATATTCTTTTTTTCCACTGACCCTGAGACACAGCTTTGGACAAGGCTTAATTGCATGTTTGATTGTATGATTCCATACAATGATTGCATACAATTGCAATGGAATCATACACAGAATACAAATCAGATGTTGCCATTAAAGTCACTTTAAATATTAAAATCACTCATTTGAATTCTGGTGTTGGACAATAGGTTGAGAATATCTTAGACAATAAGAACAAGCCATCTGACATTAAATGAAATAAAATCAGACTATTTACTGGAAGTACTAATATTGAAGCTAAAATTTCAATAGCCAGAACTTAATTTATTTCAAAGACAAGGGTCATTACAAAAGACCTGGACACTGGAAGAAAAGAAAGCAATTGAAAAGAAGCAAAAAGATGGCAAGATGCTTAGATTCCATTGCTAACAACAAAACAAGGATTCAATAGAATAGAATAGAATAGAATAGAATAGAATAGAATAATAGAATAGAATAGAATAGAATAGAATAGAATAGAATAGAATAGAATAGAATAGAATAGAACTTTATTATCATTTTAAATGTATGCTAACCAGCATACATTAAAATTAAATTTCATTGCATTCAGCTCTCAAAGAATATGCATATGCCCCCCCTCCACACACACATATGACACAGAGAAACTTTACAGTCTAGTTCAAAGGAGCAATTGTTGACAAAACAGTCCTAGTGTAATGGTGTCCCTTTGGTCATATGGCATCAAAAGTGACTGAACAAATGAACAACAAATTGATAAAACTCTGGGTGAAGTCTCTTTCTTTTTCATAGAACCACCCAGCTATATGACATTAAATGCATAGTACTTATTCTCATCACATATTTAACAATATAAAAGGAAATTTAGAAATAGCTATATATCTTGAAGCCAAGCAATTGTGCATCCTTTAAAAGTTGTTGAGAATTCAATGGTAAATAATACTGTGTTCTGTAGTAAGGGATCACAAGTACACGGGAAAAGGCTCTTCTACTCCAAATGGATTACATTTAACAGAGAAACAAATCCCCAAAGTTTTCTTACCAAGTGCTGCTGGTGACATTGGTGGTGTCCAGTGAGGACCTGCCAGTGAACAAACATAAAGTATGAGATAAGCTACAGTGATGGATAATGCACAAAGTCAATTCTGTAACCATAATAGCATAATATACAAGGTTAAAAGCAGATTTATTTTCAGATTTTGATAATGAAAGTTGACATTACTGAACATTCAATCACAGTAACAAATATACTAAGTCATGAAATACTCTGCAATCACCAAATTGGAGTTTTTGTTTCTTTGCTTGTTTTCACAGTCTAATTAGTTCAAATAATGAAAAATAGAGATGTGCAATGCTTGAAGAGGAAAAAATAGCTTGGACAGGAAAACATGCTTGGAATTTTTTAAAGCATCTTCGATCCACTCTGAAATCATTAGATTTGACTTGGAACTTGAATGCGATAATATATTATCCACTCTATTTTGGATCAATGTGTTTAGATAGCAACATTTTCTGCCATAATATAACACTAAATTTATAATAGTAAGTTGTACACTAAAGTTTATTTTATTACCGCAGTAAAACCCTGAATAGGTCATAATTACATCAATAAAGGTAAATTTGTGATGGGAGATGGATAGGCTCCATTACGATGGTGATGGGTTCACTGTTCAAAGACCTGAAAATCCAGATTAGGAACAGATCATCATGGAAAAAATCTATGTGGTTGTTAAGAGTTATCATTGACTTGACAGCACTTAATCAACTTAATAGAAAAGTGTGTTGTATGACTAAATAACAAAAACTGAAACACATACATAGCAAAGACTAGTTGCCAAATTAGTTTACATTTTATAGTCGGATCCTCATACCCTGTTTTGCAGATGTTATTTCAAAATTATCTATTGTTAGCAATCCAAAATATGTCAATAAATGAAGAGTAAAGATGAAACATTTTGCACTTACTGTATTTCATCAAGCAAACAAAAAGTATTTTGCTTTGCTCGTTTTGCTGTACATGAAAATACCCAAATTACCATAACAGTGGATGGTCCAGATTTTATCGTGAGAAATTTGTCCCTGAGTGTAAAGGCTTTCTGGATGCAAAGGAATAGTCCAACATTGTCACATATACTCTCATTTTCAAGGAGAAAATCACATCTTTCTAAAATGAAACAAGAGCCCAGGTGCAGAACTGGGGAATACTGGCTTATTTGGATAGCATCATGTTGGTCAGGTGACTCCTGGAACACTCCCCTCCTTCAACTCCAAATTGTCCACTCAACTGTGGATCTTCAAATAATCAAAACGTACATTGAAATACACTTCGAGTGTCTCAGTATTACCTGATGTTGGATAAGCACTCCCTGAAAAAGAAAAAAAGAGATTTAGTAGTTCAGCCACACAATGACTGTATTGATATGCATGTCCATTTCTTATCACATCACTCGTAAAATGGATACAATGACCAGAAGAATAGTGTTTGCTTTGTTCTGTTACAGCTGCAAAATTTACTCACTTTTACTCATTTCTGTGCCAACTATTTGGTTTCAAGAAGGCACTTCAAGAGGGCAAAAAAAAAGTGAAGGGGCTATGTTTCCCCATAACTATTCAATGTAATTAAAAGGCTCTCTTTGCCTGCACTGCAATCATTATGTAGCTAATTCTGCTTGAATACAAGATTTTCTGGTGGTATTCTGTGACTGTTTCAGGGATGGTGGAGTTAATGTTTAATTTGAGGGAGTTATGCATCTGCTGCTCTGCCAGGAATTATCAAAATATTCCCCTGTACTACCACATAGCCTTGTGGTGATGGCTCAGTAGAGTCACTGAGCCACATGTTCTTTTACTGCTCTCTCTAGATAGAATCCTGGCTTATATTTATCCATCCTGTCCTAAAATCCCCTGCAGAGAGCATGATCTCTTTGTGGCTTCCTCTGTTTAACCTCCTACCAAATACCTCCCTTCGACCAGTCCACTCCCACAGAGAGGGCCTCCTTAGGGTGCCGTCGGCCAGTCAATGCCGGCTGGTGACCCCCAGGGGGAGAGCCTTCTCTGTGGCAGCTCCTGCCCTCTGGAATGACCTACCCCCCGACCTATGTACAACTGCGGACCTGCGCCTTTTTCGCCGAGCCCTGAAAACCCATCTATTTCGTGCGTCTTAATTAGGTTTTAGTATAGGTTTTTATATGGGGTATTTTAGAGCAGGCCTTTATTTATTTAATTTGATTTTAGAATAGATATTTATTGTGATTTTATTATCGCCTGTTCACCACCCTGAGCCCCGTAAGGGAGATAGGGCAGTATACAAATCTAAATAAACATAAACAAACATAAACATATTTTCCTGAGTTGCCCACATTTGTGTTTTGACAACTGCAGTGGTTACCAGCAGGCTTTGGGGTGGATTCAAAATTCTGGTTATCACTTGTAAAGCCCTTAATGGCTTTGAGGCTTTTTAATCTGAGGAAATGCCTATCTCCCGTGGCTTCTGTGGCTCCGTTCTATGCAATCAGAGTCAGCATGCTTTGGATTCCATCAGCTAGATGGTATCACTTCATGGGATGAAGAAAGCAGAGGTCTGTTACAGCACCTGTCCTCTTAAATGAGGTCCTTCCTGAGACTCATATGGGCCCCAATGTATTTAAATGAACTCTTAAAACCTGGCTCTTCCCTCCCCCCCTCCAGGGTCTTCACAACATAGTGCAACAAGTTAACTTTATGCCAGGCTGGCATGACATTTTTCTTTAGGTAAAGGTTGCTGTACATTTATATTTCTGAATCTAATCAGAATTTTGCCTATCTAATCTAATTTTGCCTATCTTTTCTTACTGAATCCTATCCCTTTACAATTTTATAGCCATCATTTTCTTCTGTGTTTGACCGTATCCTGGGCTTTGATTAGGTGAGTGAGAATATTAAGTTACAGCACTAAGATGTATAAACTCTCAACATTAACCACCAATGAAAAAAATATTACATAAAATATGTGTATTGATCTCAGAGGATGAGAACGTACCTGAACAAATAACACCAGCGTCCTCACCGTGCCTGCAGTTATGATTTCCCCAGCCTGAAGTTTCACATTCCCACAGATAGGATTCATATCCGCGGCACTGAACATCATCCAGGAGAATAGGACCATATCCTTGTCCAAAATATGCTTCGCCTTTAGCTGCAATAGCTCGTCCACATCCGAGCTGTCTGCATACTACAGTCGCATCGGTTAGATTCCATAAATCATCACAAACTGTTCCCCATTCTCCATAGTTACGCCGAACCTCAACGCGGCCTTGACAGTTATCCCATCCATTTACCAGTCGGAGCTCTTAAAATTTAATTAAAGAATCAATTAGTATCGTCTTCCTGACGATTCACAAATTTAATATGCATATACGATGTGATATCCAGCACCTACTCAACCTTGACTGATCTCAAAACAAATAATCAGGGCTGGATCTATTGGGATCAAGTTTTTGGGGAGAGCATTAGGAAATGCTGAATGTATACTTGTTTGGGAATTTTAAGAGAATTTAAGAAGATGATGGCAATCTCTTCTATATTGTTGCTAGAAAATTAACATTTTGAATACAACTGTATTCAACAGTGCTATTTTTCTTTTTTTTAAGACATTGGAAGAAAATAGGCATATTGAGATTTTGTGCTTCAGTTTACAGCATCTCCAATATGGAGGCCCAAAAAGATTACAAGAGAAATGATAACAACAACAGTGGCTGTATCAATAGTAACAGGAGCCCTTGGAGCAATACCCAAAGGGCTGCCTAGATATAGGAAAATTTATCAGACCTGAATATTTTGACTTTGCAAAAAACCACCTTACTTGGAACTCCCTATATATTCAGATGTTACCTTAACAGCTCTTTGGTCCTTGGTTAGGACTTACACTATTAAGTTTTTACCAGTTCCAGACTGCGAATCAAATTGACCTGTGGTTTCTTGGCCTGTTTCTTGACCTGTGGTTTCTAGCCCTATAACCATTAGGGTAAAAATTTATTTTCAATTGTTAACTATAGCATCTGTTATGTCCTGGGCCTGTGATTGACAGAGCAGGTGCAGGAAGCTGCAGAGAGATCCGGGCAGACCATGTGGCTGCCTGGGCCAGACAGGTTGTCTCTAGCCTATTGCGCATGCGCAAAGCAGGAAAATATGTTGCATTTATTGGTTGACTCTGTTCCCTGCAAAAGGGTATAAAAGGGATCCGTGCCATTTTGTGTTGTTCTGTTGAAGCTTGAATAAAAAAGCAACTGTTGTTACACTTGCCTCATCTCAATGCCTTACCAACGCACAGAACAGAACAGCATCCTTATTACTATGTGTACTATGTGTAAAATTAGCAAACCTCTGAGGGAAAAAATCAATCTAGCAAAATTCGGCTGTAAAAACCCACACTACCACTACTGTGGGGCCATCCTGTGGTTTTCTGGAATCTTACAGGCCAGATATGAAAGCTTAGCTTAAATAAATAGTCCTTGAAACTACAGCTTAAAAGATAGTGTTACTGTAAACATAACTATAATCAGAAACAGAAAGAAATGCTACAGGTAACATCCAAATTATATGTGATTTCTGGATACCAAGCATAACCTTTTTTCATATTAGCAAATTATATGAAAGCACAGTGTATAATATTACCTCTTCTGTAATCAGGTGTTACGTTTGCTGGAAAATGAACTGAAAAAAAGAAAAACTTATTTGATATCTATCTATGTACACGCATGTACAAAATTTTCTTAATGAAAACAACTTGAAAGAAAATAGTATAATATAAAAAAGGAATAGCATGCTACGTGGAATATAGCCACATATATTAATAATATATTAAATTAGAAAATATCACAATAACTTTCATTTTACTTCATTTTACTTCATACTTCTATCTAACCAGTCATATATATATGCGCAATGGTATACACACACACACACACACAAACACACATACTTTTTTTAAAGGCTTCATTTTATGAACCACTCCATCTCTGATGTCATCAACAAATAAGAATAATTAAAGACAAGGATAAATAATCAAATTCAGCTTGCTGCTTTTAAAAATTTTAAGGGAGTTGGAACTGCAAAGCAGTTATTCTGGGCGTAGTGATTTTCCACATATCTTGTTGTAGCAACTGATCACCTCAGGGGGGCGCCCCAAATTACTTTTAGAGATTGCATCTGAACAATTTTACAAGATCCACACCTTTCACATAATGGTATCTCTACCTGTAATTCTTTATAAACTATAAAACACATTTTTGTATGATAACTGAAAATAAATGGGGAACTGAACATTGGTTTGAAATGGATCAATGGAGTATTGCTTAATATATTGCTGCTCTGTAACTGAAAATTCTTCGGATAAACAAACAGAGCAACAAAATTAGAGATGCCACTGAAGACCCAGTCCTTTAAAGGAGAATATTTGTAGCTCAGGGTTGAAATGAGAGATAGCATTGAGGATGAGGTTACCTAGTTTGGGTAATGAAACCTCTGCAAGAAAACAACCAAGTTCAGAGAGCACCAAGGACCGCCCAGTTCCCATACATTGTAGCTGATCCCCACATTATCAGGGTTTAAGTTCCTATATTTGTAGTTACCCAAAGACCCCTGCAGAGGCATTTAATGGTTTGGGGGCGAGTTTTGCATGCATTCCCATGAATTCTCAAGCTCCTTTTTCAAAATATTTGCAAACCCCTCTTAAACATACAGAAATAAGCCTCTGGCGCACATCACTGGAGTGAATCTGATACTGGAGGGGGATTGATGTGGTTCCATGGGGACTGCAGTTCAGTCCAAAGCCAATTGCCTCAACCATCATTTCTCCATTTGGATTGGTGCATGAACTGGTTCACACAATAAGGCCATGCCAAAAGAGTCAGGATGGTGTGGAGAGACGTTATCTGTGCTCTGTCAAAATTACATATTTGAAATTATGATTGAGGCAAATGTAGAAAGAAATTTGCTCTAGAGATCTACTTTATCTTATATAATATACTATATATCTTTAAAGCAAATTATGGATACCGGAGTGTAAATATGTATAAGCATGGCAGTAAGTGTCTCAGCAGAGTTTTCAGCAGAAAACAGCAGCAACAATGTTATTTTAAAAAAGCAAAAGACTTACAGACAGAAGTTTTTTCTAGGGTTGGTCTTGGTGTTGGTCCTGGCCATCTTATTGCTGGTGTTATTGCCAAATTACCTGTAGAAGCAATAATAGAATCAAAATGCTAATCCAGGGGTGTCAAACTGCCGGCCTGCGGGCCGGATGCGTCATGCTGAAACAGCGCCCACCCCATTGCCGGCAATGGAAAAAAAGTTGAGATACATCGCGACACGTCACATGACGTTGCGAGTTTGACACCCTTGCGTTCATGAATTTAGATGACATTGCAAAATATTTTTCCAGATAATTTTAAATGAATATATCATGTAAACTGGAAGGCTTAGTGAATGCTTACAAATTACTCTGACAACTAAAAACTAACAATATAACCTACCGTATTGCATGCCTCACTTATCTAATTTATACATTTGTCAAATAAGCAATCATGATTAATAAAATAATGCAAAGCAAGTACACAATTCAAGTTACATGTGTGTATAATAGCAGTGAAGTGCAAGAAAGATATAAAGTCTCTTTTTCTCTGCCTTGCACACAAACCAAAGAACATAATAAGCTAGCTGGTTTGAATAATATAAGGAAAACTTTCTCTTCCTATTGCCACTATTCCTGAAAAAGCAAATATGGATTCAAGCAGACAAAATGCTATGTCCAGACACCCAAATTAATGGGTTGATTAAACTAAAATTCATGGGCATTTTTCCTCTTTACATAAAGGCTAAAATTGCAGGAGTATTTTCCTGATTTTGTACACTTGTGATGGCAGGAGAGTGTGTCTAAGTTAGAAAAGGAACATCAGTTCTGTATTATATGACAGATCAGCCTACTCAACTATCATATTATGCTGGTAACTCAACATACATGCATATTAAATCGGAACTCGATTAAGACCTTTCATTTTCTGAGCTGTCACCCATTTTTAACTCGCTTTTTTTCTTGCAAAGTTTCACAAAATGTACACAGGTGGCTGAAAAAATGAGTTATAGGTTATGCCTTTATTTATTTCTTTAACATTTGGAAATACTAATAGGTGAACTCTCTGCGTAGTTTAGAATAAAATGTGTGTACAACAAAATCAAACGAAGTGCAAAATGAAAACCTCGTATAAACTAGTCAGCAACAAGACAGCCATTCAATATGTAAAGCAATATAAGTTAAAATGCAATTACAATTTAGCAAATGCTAAAACCTGGAAAAAAGTCTTCACCTGGCACCAAAATGATGCTAGGGTGGGCATCATTTAAAACTTCCTTAGAAAGTAATTCCAGAATTAGGGCACCACCACAGAAAAGGCTCTCTCCTTTGCAAGTTCCCCCTTCTCTTTTTTTGCTGGTAAGGACAGCCTTGTTAGACAAAGACTCTTAAAATCTGGGCATGCACATAAAGGAAAAGGTGCTCCTTTAAATAACCTGGAGGAGTAAAGGCATTTAGGGCTTTAAAGATAAAAAAAAGACACTGTGGCTCTTTTTTATATGTTTACTGGGTCTGTAAATGTATCTTTTTCCCTTTTATTTATGCATGTGGTGAATTGTTCATTTTTATTTTATGTATGTCTCTTTCAAATAGGATTAACAACAGCGTCAAATGAAGAAACAATAAATACAGGGTTGCTAAAATCATTTTATTTAGGCACTTTATTAGGCATAAATGTCAGTGGATGGCAATGGGATAATGTTTTTTTTTAAACTGGGATTAAATTTTGTGTTTTAAGTAGGTTGTTTTATTGAATTGTAGGGCATTTTTCAGGTTTTTGCTTGTAAACCATTTAGAAACATGTATTGTGTGATGGTGTATGCAGTAAATAAATATAATAAACAATTTAGAGAACCAGGGTGGTGCAGTGGTTAAGGTATCATGCTAGAATAGTTCTAGTCCCTCCTTAGGCACAAAGCCAGCTGGATGACCTTGGGCTAGTCACTTTCTCTCAGCCCACGGAAGGAGGAAATGGCCAATCACTGAAAAACCTTGCCAAGAAAACTTCAGGGACCGATCTAGGCAGTGTCCATAAATTGGATATGATTTAATGGAAGAAAAAAAATTATGTGACAACAAATCATACACAGATAATATCTACAAGCACACTTTGTATAGCGAGTATGGAAGTTCAAGAACCTGAAGACTAAAGTGGCCTTCTCGTCAATTTTTCTAACCTTGGGCCAGTCCATCTCTCTCAGCCCTAGGAAGGAAACGTTAGCCAATCACTTCTGAAATCTTTCCAAGAAAAATGCAGGGATTTGTCTATGCCAGGGGTCTTCAAATGTGGCCCTTTTATGACTTGTGGACTTCAACTCCCAGAATTCCTCAGCCAGCATGCCTGGCTGAGGAATTCTGGGAGTTGAAGTCCACAAGTCATAAAAGGGCCAAGTTTGAAGACCCCTCGTCTACGCAGTCCCAAGGACTCAGCACTGACTTGAAGCACACACACACACACACACACAAAAATTATAACAGACACTTCATGGTCTGTTTTTCATAACTGAAATATAACAATTATAAAATTTGTTCGGGGGAAATAATACAAACAGAGGAGAAGTAACACAGTACATGTTAAAAATATCCACAACTGCCCAGAAATACTAATGAATAAATTTAGTGATATTGTAGGGACCATCCTAATTTTAAAAGGCAGAAGAATGAATACAAGAAGACGGCCAGCATGGCTACATGAAAAGCTTAGGGAAGATCTGGAAACAAACAAATAAAGCTGTAAAAAAGAGATGTACAGATAAACTACCAAAGTACATACAGGTTGCCTGAACGTGCAGTGAATAAGTGCTCAGAATGAATGGAGATTAGCTAAGAATGTTAAGAATAACAAGATACAATAGTGGTGAATATCTATAGCTCGGGTGTAGGATGAGGGTGA